CACCTTATCAGTCTGCAAGTGCTCTCTCTCTCTCTCTTTCTCTTTCTCTTTCCCTCTTGTGTGTGTGTGCTGGCATGCACATATGCATGCATGCACATTGTATGTGTCAATGTGGGCCCCTGTGTGTGTTACAGTATGAATGTGGAGATCAGAGAGAATCTGAGCTATTAGCTGTCCCAGCACCCCGCACCTTCAACCACTCCATTTTGTTTCAGGCAGGGTCTGTTTATTTTTATTTTTTTCCTCTACTCTGTATACCAGGCTGGGTGGCTGAATATCCCTGGGAGGCAGGGAGTATCCTGCCTCCACCTCCTGTCTTCCCATAGACGCAACGGGATTTCAGAAGCTGGTGCGATGTGTCCAGCTTTTACACATCTTCTGGGGATTAGTACTCAGGTCTGCATGCTTGCATGACAAGAGCCTTTACCTATTGAACCATCTGCAAAGCCCTAGCAAGTTGATGTTTTTTTTTTTTTTTTTTTTTTTTTCAGACATTTTCTCACAGTGATAGGAGACTAACACAGAGGGGGCCATAGATATCAGTGTATACATGCCTAAGAAGAGGGCCTCAACACTGAAAAAGGCTTGAGAGTTAAATAATAAGGTTGTCATCCTCCAATCTCAGTAACTGAAGAACATTTAGAAAGGCCACTGGGAGCTTCCTAAGAGACGCAGCACATCACTAGTTCGGCTTAATGGGCACACAAGGCATGCAGCACACAGATGCATTTGTTCACAGGGACATTTGGAATATTCTCCAGGGTAGATGATGTGCTAGGCTATAAAGTAAGGTCTGATAAACTTAAAAGTTGGAATTACACAAACTACATTCTCTGACTATACTGGAATTAAATTAGAAATAATAACAAAAAGGAAATTTGGAAATTGTCAAATGTTTGGAAGCTAACACAATTTTAACTTCAATGTTACCATCAGGATATCAACAACACACATTTCTACCTAAAATCAAGCCAGACCCAAAGCTAAGGAAGAGGAAGCCATAAAGATGAGAACATACATTCAGACACCACCGAAACAGAAAGCAAAACATGATAGAGAGAGAGAAAAATGTCTTTGAAAAGATTAATAAACTCAGCAAACCTTTAACAGATTGGCCAGTAATAATAACAAAAAGGATCAAGAACGAAATAGGAAACCTTGAGCCAATTCTATAGAATCTACAGAGGCCCATAAAGGAATGCTGTGAACAACCTACGCCAACAAACTGTAGGGTACCCACAAAGCAGGCAGAACCCCAGAGCGACAAGGATCCAGTGTCCTGACCAATGATGCTTCCAATTCCTTCATCAAAGGAGTGTCCCAGTTAGTTTTACTGTCAGCCCGACACAGCCTGGAGTTACCCATGCAGCTGGAGCCTCAGCTGAACAATGATCACACTACTCTTGGCCGTACCTGGAAGAGACTGTCTGGACTGGTGCTTGATGTTGAAGGGGTAACTCACCCATGAGTGGCACCATCTTGGGGAGTTGGTCCTGGGCTGCTTATGAAAACTAGCTAAGCATGAGCTAGACTGAGGCAGTTAGTAGCCTTCCTCCATAGTTTCTGCTTCAGCGTCTGGCCTGACTTCCCTCAGTGATGGACTGTGGCCTTGAAGTGTGAGCCAAATAAATCCTTTCCTTCCCAGGTTGATTTTGGTCATGGCATTCATCACGGCACAGAAAAAAAACTTGGACAATGTGCTGGCTACTTTTATGTCAGCTTGACAAACTAGAGTCATCTAAAAGGTGGGAACCTTAAGGCTTCCATAAGATCTGGCTATAGGGAATTTTCTTAATTAGTGATTATGTCAGAGGTCCTAGCCCGTTGTGGGTGGGGCCATCCCTGGGCTGGGGATCCTAGGTTCTATAAGAAAACAGGCTGAGCAAGCCGTGATAGCAAGCTGAGAAGCACATTCTCATGATCTCTGCATCAGCTGCTGCCTCCAGGTTCCTGCCCTGTTTGAGTTCCTGTCCTGACTTCCTCTGATGATGAACAGTGATGTGGAATTGTAAGTGAAATAAACCCTTTCCTCCCAGTTTGCTTTGGTTATGGTGTTTCATCACAGCAATAGCGACTCCAACTAGGACAGACAAAGAAAGGGGATTGCTTCCCAGCTCACTCTTTGAAGGCACTGTTCTTCTGATGTCAAAGCCAGACAGGGGATGGTACAGAAGCCTGCTGCCTGTCATCCCTCCTGAACACACACAGCAGTGCCAGAGCAGAAATGCCAGCAGAGTAAATTCCAATATAAACAATTAGCAAATAGGGTTCGGTGTCAGGTGTAAGTCTGACACCAAGAGCCGCAGTACGTGTATGTCTATCCCTTCTGGTAACATAATAGGATCAAGGTCATAAACTATGAGACACTTCCACAAGGCACAGCAGCATCTGACAGAGTCAAGTAGCTCTGGCCTCCTGCTATAAGGAAGGTTCCTGCAGGCCCTCTGGCACAATGGTGGTGGTCAGAGTGATGCTGTAAGGTACAGCAGAGAGATTTAATTCCCCAAACAGCACATTTGTCCCAAATCTCTGCAAGCAACAGTCAAGAGCAAACTTAATAATATTCTCCAGGTGTGATGACTAATCTGCCCTGTCAGCCTGACCACATCTGGAATCAACTAAAATCCAAGCATCTGGGCATGCCTGTGAGAGATTTCTCTTGGCTGGGTCATTGGAGGTCAGAGGATCCACCCTCAATCTGAGCCACACCTTCCTGTGGCAGCCCACATGGGAGGACGTGGAAGAAGGAAGCTCTTGCTTTTTACCTGCTTGCCCTAACTCTCACTGCAAGTTCATGTGCCCTCCTGCTGAGGCAGGTATTAAAGCTACCTAGCTAGCTTTAGAGCCTGCTTCTTTGGGATTTTGACATAAACTGAAGACCAGCCGAAACATCCAAACTCTTAAACTGAACAGCTACTGGATTCTTAGATTCTTGGCCTTTCTTTTGGGAGACAAGCATTGTTGGACTAGCCAGACTACAGTCTGTATATCCCATCTATATCAGTCAGTTCTGATGCTGTGAAGAACCTGACTAAACCAGAATCGGGGGCTTGGGGTGGGGATGGGGTTTGGATCAAGATTGGGAAGAGAGAAGTTTTCTGCACAAACACCTTTCTTTTCTGAAGCCTTCTGTGAAGCGACATTGCCATTTCCCCACCCCCTGAGGCTGCTTAAGTGTCTGAGATGATCGTTTCTTAAAACCAATGCAGTCAAAAGGAGGAAAGCACGGACACCTGCTACATCGAACAAGAACCTGGATGTCGGCATGCTGAGTGCAAAAGACCTGGCACAGAGAGACAGGTCAGTCAGACCTGCACATCAGCTAACTCCGCACAGACAGAAAAACAGATTCCTGCCTGTTGGGGCTGGAAAGGGGACTGCTTAGTCCCTGCAGGATGACATGGGTGACAACAGGGCTTATCAGCTAGTCTTCGGGGCAGCCACACAGCAGGCTGAGTGTTTGGACAGCCACTGGATTTTACACTTCAAAACAGCTAACTCTCTGCCGCATGAATTTTACTTTAATATAAAAGCAGATACAATCTTATTCATTAAACTCTCATGTAACATCTTCTTTGCCCCTTTATCAACAGGTTGGCACATGACCTCCAGAGCAGGGCAGAGAGAAGGAACACCAATCATGTCAGACAGAAGCGGGGTTTTTCCTATGGCGCTGGATGACACTGTCACCCCACCGGAGGAAAACAGCTGAGTGAGTGCATCAGGTACCATGACCCTAGCTGCCCCCAGCCCAATTTCTCCCCAGATGTTTGTGCGTTGATTCAAGTGGAGCTTCCATCTAGAACCCAGCCCAGGGCTCCGAGCCCAGTTTTGGCTTCCAGCCCATCCAATCCTGCCTCTGAGAAAGAAGAAAGTTTCTCCTCACCCTAAGTATGCTTGCTTAGGATGGCAAAGGCACGGCTGGAGTCCGAGCCCATGAGACTCTGTTCACTTCTTCCTGATGCTGGCAGTGACATAAAAATGTGCTGAAACCTGGAGTCTGGTTAGGCAGAAGTCCCAAAGGAGGATGGGGAGTTTGAAGACTCCTCCAGTTTCTAAAACAGGACTTCAGGCCCTGAGAGGACACTGATGGTATCTGTTTCCGGAATTCAGAACTCAGGTCTAGACTACCAGAGAACACTACCCAGCTACATACAGAATGAGCTCCTTTCTGCCTGGGGTCCAGTCAGTGCCCACACATTTGAGCAGGGCAGTTCCTGAAGGATCTAGCACCTCTGTGACCCAGAATCTTGGTGACCCCGCACCTCTGTGAGCCAGCACCTCTATAACCAGGCACCTCTGTGAGCCAGTACCTCTGTGAGCCAGCACCTCTATAACCCAGCACCTCTGTGAGCCAG